CCCACTTCCAAAAGCTTTTTCCAGGTATCCTGAAGCTCACCTCGGCGGTGTGCTTCCTCCATGGCCTCTGCATCTTTCCACTCAAAGACTTCCAACACACGGCCGGCGCGGCTGCGAAGAAACAAAGGCTCTTGATTGGGTACTGTTAATCCTGCAGCATGCAATGCATCCCAATGCTTTTGAAGGCGGGTTTCCAGCTCTTTTTCCTGACCTGGATGTGGCATGAACGTCTTGATGCAGAATATCGCAGGCTCCGGCCTGAGGGTGGCGGGTCGTTCTGCCTCTTTTTGCACTGACGATTGATGCATCCTATGCTTCCAAGGCAGATTTAGTGGCTAGAATAAATGGCAAAAGATCCCCAAGGATATGATTGAGGAAAAATGTTCCCGGAAATGGGTGCGATGGAAAGGGCCTTGTGTTCTTTCGGGGTTGCACAAAACGCGGGGAGGTTCAACTTCCATAGCACAGAAATTGACGAGGAGCTCGCCGGCAGGCACAAGCATGGCAAATTTGCTCTGATAACATGATCGAATAAGCCTGAAAACAAAGGGGATTGCACCACTTTCTTGAGGCGGGCATGTGCGCATGGGACGCCTGAAACTTCTTGAGTTCTCGCAGTGGGCCGAACTCGCCTTGATCGCCGAGTTGGAAGAGACCAGTAGACAGGAACGTGCTTTAGAAGCTGATAGGAGGAACGTGTGAGATTGAAAACATTCGATGCTCCACTAGACTCACATACACGTATATGCAAATTCCAGGAGCTTTGTATGTCTTACGTGCGCGCCCTTCAGAATGCTCCGTGGCACCGAGGCAGCAGCAGCACTAGCTGGAGAGAGTTTACCCCCCAACTCCTCTCTCCCAGTTCCCCCTGTAGTAGCTCACAAGTGTTCCAACACGATAAGAGGGGCATTCAACGATATAATCCTGAAAAACAAAGGGTTTGGTGGAGGAATATTGAGGATTGAATCTCTTGCGCGCGGCCTGTTATGGGAAGGTAGTTGGGGTAAGGTGAGTACGGGTCTGCAGTATCAAGTGTCTTCTTCCGAGCCACAGCATTTTCTTGGGTCCTACTCTGTACAACTCACACTCAGAATCCGTATACACTGCCCCCATCTTCTCCCTTATCGCCTGCTTTCAAGCCACAAAGTATTGAAAGACGGGAAGACCCTCAAATCACGAGGCAACGAATGCTTCGCTCTTTTTTCCACTTCCAGAAATCGCGCTCCCAGCGTCGTCTTAAATAGTCATATTTAGCCTTTTGCTCCACTCCACCTTTGTCACTCACATGCAGGTGCAACACTCAAGCAAAGAGGAGGATATGACGCCCTCAGCCCGGTTTGAGATCGCTAGCATTACCAAGACCTTTGTTGCTTCTACTCTCATGCTCCTCCTGGCCCGCCACTCACTGTCTGACTTTAGGACTAATGCCAATCTTGATTTCTCCGCCAATTTTTCAACCTCCTGTACAATCCCCTGCCTTCCTCCTTCATCCTGCGGCCCATTGCCCTCACCTTCCTCATCCTCGGCTCCTTATTACAAAATTCGCCTTTCCTTGGGTCTCGACACCACCCTCGCCGACGCCGCTCCCTTCCCGTCTTTTCTTTCCTCCCTCTGTGCCCCTCCCCACTGGCGCTCAGCCACTCTCCGGAGCCTTCTCTCCCACACAAGCGGCATCGCCGACTACTGGACCGATCCTTCCTTCCTCATCGCTTTCAGCGAGAATTCTCACCGAACGTGGAATGCGGATGAAATTTTAAAAGATTATGCAGCCAAAATGCCGCCTCTGCCTACTTCTTTTTCCCCTTCCCCCAAGAGATGCTCCTTTACCTCCTGCTGTTCCCCCTCGTCCTCCTCCTCCTCTTCTTCTTCCTCCTCCCCTTCCTCTTCTTTCCCCTACGCCTACAGCGACACAAACTACGTCCTAATCGGCCAGCTTATTGAAGCATGGACAGGCCAAAAGCTGCACACAGTCATGAACGAGACTCTGTTCCTGCCGCTTGGCTTGGCGGACACGTACTTCCCCTACCTGCAATCTTCTCCCTCTTTCTCACCTTTCCGTGCACGAGGGGCGGGAATAAATGCAAGGGGGAAATCTGGAGGAGGCTCCTCTACCAAAAGAAGACCAGGTAATGAGAGGATTGATAAAGAAGCCAAGAAGGAGCGGTTGCCGAAGAAGGACGAGCGAGAGGCGCCCTCGCCGTCCGAAGGAGGCAACGAGGTGGGTAAGAAAAATGGAGCAAGGCTTCCAACGGCCGGGCCAATACTTTCCCATCGATATGAAAGCGAGGAAGATCTGGTCAACGTGCCTCGTCAATCGGCAGATTGGGCCGGAGGGGGCCTTGTGTCGTCCGCCCAGGATCTTACCCTGTTTGCGAGAAAGGGGCTGCTGGGAAGTAGGAGTGGAGGACGCGAAGGAGTGAGTCTGGCAGATATCATGATGGCCGAATCGGTATTGACAGGAATGAATGGAGTATGGTCGAGCTTGGGCTTGTTCGTGATGGATTTGGAGGAGGAGGAGGATGGGGTGGACGGCAGAATATGGGGACACGACGGATGGGGCCATTCCTTCATGTTTGTATATGAACCGCCTCAATCGGACCAGCAGCATGCAGAAAGTGATATTCTCATACTAACAGGGACCGTAAACCAGCAAGATGAGCGGGCTGATCCCTGGCAGGCGATAATGGAGGGACTAAGATGTATGCTTAAAGCAGGTAACTCCTTCGACAAAAACGAAAAATTTTGAGGAGGAGAGCCAACGTGGAAAAAGGCAACTTCGGCACGTTTTTTCAATTCTTTTTCTGTATTTAAAGCTTCATTATCGTTATACATTACATACATTACATGCATGGCAGGAGGCATCTGCAAGCTTTACGATGCCTTCGAGGTTTTTAGCATATGTCATGAGAAGGAGCATACAATCCACAAAGAATATCGTTCTAACAACCAAAATGAAAAATCCTCAGATTATTTTGGGGATTTTTATTCTATTGATGATACACAATTTTGTTATCATAATTTTTAGTCCTAAAACCTTCGTGAACAGGAGCATGGGCCGTAGGAGGTTATAGACATGGCTTTCCCTTGTTGTCTGAATCTTCGATCGACTCCGCACAAATTTTCATGCGGCTTCATGTACACGTAGTAAATGATCCGATCTGTGTACAATGAGATTATTAATGTCCTGATCGCGCGGCGTCGCGGGATGGCCTTTGCGTTGAGGATGAGTAAGAACATTCCTCCCGGGGCTGGCGGTAGCTTGAACCGTTACAGAGGCTTCCATTATCTTGTCAAGCCACAGCTACGTTTAAAAAAACATGGAAACATGTCAAAGTTTCGTGGTATCCATGGTACTTTACTCAAGAGATAACAGCGAGGTGCCTGTCATATTGCCTCCCAGCGTGGAATTCTGGAGGGCCACCCGATAAGACCGGAACCGTACGAATTGCTCAACATAGCCTGTGTATATCTCGGACATATTTGCTTGCAGAAATAAGTGGAGTTGAGCGTGACGTTGATGACTACTAGCTTTCAAGAGGGAGAAGAGAATCGTCTGCTGGCCTGGACTTTTTAGAGAGGGGTTGGGACATTGCATAGACTCGACGGGTCACTCCTCCTTGCGTCTTCCATGCAAGGTTTCCCGCGTTTGCCCTCACGAGCTACCACCGATCAACCGTTCCTTTCCTACCTTCAGGCAGGAAAATGGGCGCTGCCTGCACACGTGACGCAGCTAAACACGTAGAAAATCCGATGCAGCCGCCAACCCTTACCGCAACCCATTCCTTTCCTTCCTACAACGGGGGATATGTTTCCAACCTCCCCCTTGCCACGCTCCTGGCGGAAGCTACTTCCCGCCTCTGCGTCTATCAAAACACCATCACGCTGGAGTACGTCCTTCTTCCTACTGACGCCGACGACACGGTGGGTCTGGGGCCAAACTGGAGCCGTCTTTCTCCCGCCCTTCCTACTCAAGCCACGGCGCTCGACCGCACTTCCAAATTGACTGCGCTCCGGCCG